GATATCAAAAAAGTACTCCAGAGTGTTGTTCAGCATGGGGGTGAGTAGAAAATGAAGGCTAATCATGTTTTGGGTGTACTATTCCTTTAATATTCTGAAGTCTAACAAAGAATTAGGGGGGACAAAAGGCAACTTTGATCCCTCTCACTGAATTGGCCATGGAGGTCACGATGGGGGTGTTAATGGTCGTTAGGGGAATCTGATGGGTCGTTAACTCCATGTTCAGAGTGTTTTCGGTCACATCCCCTCATTGAAGTGTGAGTCAATTGTACCAAACATTTTTCAGAACATAAGAAAACCCACAACATATGTTTTTCATACATCAGCATACATGGCAGGATTTAATGTATGACAGCAGCGTTAGAAGCCTCTTTAAAAACAACCTTCAGAGAATATTACCTTTATTATTTACATAAACACTTGCAAACCTAAAATCTAGACCTTGCTGCTAGAATCCTCGTACCTTGTTTGAATTATATAGGCAAAGCAAGTTTATATAAAAAGCATATTTCAGTAAAAGGACCATTCAAAGTGCTGTACACAAAAAAGAAACACAATAGGATCACACCACAGAGAAATGTAATTGCAGTGGCATTAAGGTAGTTAAGTAGATCGTATAAATGTTTAGTTATAGTGATAAAGAAAATTTGAAACCAATAATAAAATGAAATAAGATAAAGTTGCACAATAAACTTAAACTAATAATGTGTAGATAGCACAAGCCATAGTTAAAGCTTACTCTAAACAAACGTTTTTTTAATCTTGAGTTAAAGCAACTATGGTTTTAGTACTTTTAAACTTTTAAAGGAGTTTGTTATAGATTAGTGAAGCATAATAACAAAAATCTGTTTTTCCATGTTTGGTTCTTATTATGCAGTGTAGACTTAAGAGGACTGGGTCATTGATGCATCAGTAAATCTATAACCAATTTTAATACTAAGCCATTGAGATATAAAGACAAAAAAATATCTTAAAGGCTATTCTCTGAAATAAGGCTGGCTAGCACTGTGAATACTCCACTATCTTAGTTTAAGTGAGGACGTGAGTGGTAACATTTTGGATCAACTGCAGCTATCTGATCAACATTTTAGGCAGACATGTGAAAGCTCCCCTTAAAATAGTTGCTTATAAAAAGAATAAATGCATAAATTAGTTTTTCAAATCCTGCTGAGATGTTAGTCTTTTAACAGTTGTTCATCATACAACTAATCACAGGTGCCACCAGCATTTCGGACCACCATCAGTACTTCATTTAAAGTGTGCTGCATGAGAACACAGGTACAAAAATGGAAAGAGCTAGGGTTCTAAATGGCAACCCTCAGCTTGTAGTATGAAATCATTTGTCACAGGTCACTGTTAGCTCGTAACACGTAGGCAATCTCATGATAATTTAGATGGACAAGTATACAGCTCATACCACACAGCAGTCTCTTGTGAAAAAGTTTTCCCACAATTGCTCCTCCCTGCCTGCTTTTTTTACACTTTAGGCATCTGCTTCCTCAGGATGGACGCCTGATTAGTAAGACAGATGAGTAATGTGTCCTGTCAGTTTTGGGGAGTGTTTTGTCTTCAACATGCAGGATTAAAATGACAGAATATATATATGTGTATTAACTCCGGAACAAACTCCTCAGATAAAATGTTAACATTTCTGTTTTATTCATAGGGCGTATACAGGAAGGACACATCTATTATTGCAAGATCCTTGTTGACCAAAATCATCCATGTTTGATATAATATATTATCATAGGGTCCATCCTAATTTGTTGTGTCATCCTTTCACCCATGACTAAAGACTGATGTATACTTCGAAACTAGGTTGTCTGCGTAGGTGTCGCACTGAACAAAAAGATGTCCCCGCCCCCTCCGCAGACACTCCGCTGCACCTCTCCCAAATTGTAGTTGACCGCAGACAGTGCCGCGGAGAGGAGACCGGCTTGTTTTGTCT